CCAGGGAGTAGCCTGGCTCACAGCTGTAATTCACAGACATCCCCGGGGTGAATGTTTCCACGTCTCGGCTGCTGTGCTCGGCGTGAGTGATATTTGGTGGCAGGGGGCACTGCAGCACTGCAGGGAGGGAAGATGGTGTGACCTGAACAGTTTCATTTTGGATATTTTAAAAGTCAGGAAACGTTCCCCCAGTAAGCACAGACACCAGCCCAATGCTCCTGCAGGGACTTCAACTCAGCTCTCTGACAACACCATTCATCTACAGTCTCCCATCCCATCCACTTACCTCCGAGTGTATAGCAATTGAGAGACTGCATCCATGCCACCTTACCGTCCCCCAATCCCTCCTACAACTTTTCCCAACATTAACTTCGCCATATTCCTCTGATAAACAATACTCATCATTAATTTAGGAACCTGTCTCCATCGGATGTCAGGGCTGGCCTCAGTGCTCTTTTTCAAACAGGTAGACCCCAGTTGTTACCAAAATGAGGGTGACAATCTGCTCAGTGACACAGAATAAACCCAGTCCTTACCCCTTTCACAGAGTAGGACTGGAGGGTCCCACGTGCCGTCGTCCTGGCACTGAGACTCGAGAGTGCCGTTTACGGCGTAACCTGCATCACATTCCACTGTCACGGTGTCCCTGGGGTTGTGGACAGGTTTGGTACCAGTTGCTTTTCCATTCTGCACTTTTGGAGAGCCACAGGTAACTGCAGAACAGGTGCATTTGTCATGGCAGCAGCTGCAGAGACAACATTACACCGCTAAAAACCACGCTTTGAATATACAAGAGACAGAGACAACAGGCAGTGTCAGCCCTTCACTCAGCACACAAAGGAGCTGGGCCTGTGATGTTAGTGCTCTGACACTCCCTTAAAAAGCTCAAATATCTTATCCTAGAAGCAAAATAAAGTTTCCCTGACATTTTTGTGAGCACATCCAGCCATAGGACACTCTGCAGATGGTGGGAGCAGAGCTCTGCATGCCAGAGGGGCAGGGCAGAGTAGGGGTTCACTTTTCACAGCAAGGAGCAGAGAGAAATGAAGCTGCACAGATCAGTAGAAATGTTTCTCCACCTTCCCACATGAAGTTGAACACAGGATTTGAGACTGTGTATTTCTCCCCCAGCCAGGACACGGCCCTGCTGGATATTACCTCCCATGCTGACCAGTCACTGACCACTATTCGAGCTTACCCCGATTGCAGGCTGGGAGGGGGGGATCCCAGGCACCATCCTCCCCACACCAGATCTCATGGCTGCCATTCAGGCTGTAGCCAGCACTGCATTCAAACTGCACACGGTCCCCAGGTCTGTACACAAGGCCATGACCAGCTAGTTTCCTTCCATTCGGGATTTCTGGGTTTGTGCAGAAGACCACTGAAAATGAAGCATGAGAAATAGAAGCTAGGGCAGAAGAGGCAGTCCCCTCATCCCATTCACTGATTCATGAATGGCTATAAAGAGATTGAGGGCATAGCTCCTCCTTACTCTCCCCCTCCAACCCATTTTCCATCAACTTCTCCATGTCCCACTGATAACCAACAGTCACTAATTAAGGAGGGAGGCTAACCAGGCAGCAAGGCTGGCCAGGCTTCACTTCTGCAGTGCTCTTTTTGAAATTGTTACTGAAATGAGGACAGGAATCTGCCAAGTGATATGGAGTACAGCCAGTCCTTACCCCTTAAACAGACCAGGACTGGAGGGTCCCACGTGCCGTCCTCCTGGCACCGAGACTCGAGAGTGCCGTTCACGGCGTAACCTGCATCACATTCCACTGTCACGGTGTCCCTGGGGTTGTGGACAGGTTTGGTACCAGTTGCTTTTCCATTCTGGACTTTCAGAGATCCACAGGTAACTGCAGACCAGGGAAGTGTCATTAAAGCCTTCGGTTACCTCATCCTCATCACCAGTTCCCTGTTGAATCTACCTGGTTCTGATCCTCCTCTATATTTGGCATGGAAACTTACCCCAGGCCAAACAGCATGACAAGGAGCAGCTGCCATAATGGTGCTGATGCCACCATATGGCAAATTCTAAATGGAAACTGAAGCAATGGAGAAGAGAGGTCGTGCCAGTGCCCAAAAGGTGCTGCAAGTATTTCCCTATAGACTCTTTTCCCTTGCAGCAACCTCAGTTTCCCTCTCTTCATTTGTGTATTTTTAGCAAGTTCCTGCATCTCCACACCTAGCCATGTCAACCTGAGCATTACTCACTGAGGACAGCCAGGTCCTCCATTATCAGATATTACCCCTCAGTCTGATCTGCCCCCAACCCCACTCCAGCATTTAAGCTTACCCTGACTGCAGACTGGGACAGGGGGATGCCAGGCCCCATCCTCCCCACACACGATCTCACGGCTGCCATTCAGGCTGTAGCCAGCACTGCATTCCAACCTCACGCTGTCCCCAAGGCTGTAGGTGGCGGTCCAGCCATCGAGGTTTCTTCCATTCAGGATCTCTGGGTTCGGGCAGGTGACAGCTGGAAATGAAACGTGAAATGTCGGTGGGGGCAGAAGGGGCAGCCCGCTTGGCCAGAGGGTCTCCTGCCTCAGACTCTGGTCCTCCTGCCCCACGCTGGCTGCCTGCTAGTGTCTGGGCACAGTTGTGACTTTTGATTCTTACAACGGAGTCCTAAGAATCTCTTCCTTGAGCCTTTGGGAAACACAGCCCAAACGCACCTTCACAGCAAGGGAGCGGGAGGCTCCAGACTCCAGATGTTGTGCAGTTAACTAATCCCTCTCCCACCAGGGAGTAGCCCTGCTCACAGCTGTAATTCACAGACATCCCCGTGGTGAATGTTTCCACATATTGGCTGCTGTGCTCGGCGTGAGTGATATTTGGTGGCAGGGGGCACTGCCGCACTGCAGGGAGGGAAGATAGTGTGACCTGAACAGGCTCATTTCAGGTATTTCAAAAGTCAGGAAACATTCCCCCAGTAAGCACAAACACCAGCCCAATGCTCCTGCAGGGACTTCAACTCAGCTCTCTGGGAACACCATTCATCTACAGTCTGCCATCCCGTCCACTTACCTCTGACAGTATAGCAATAACAGACCACATCCATGCCACCTTACCCTCCCCAAATCCTACCCTACAACTTTTCCCAACTTTAACTTCACCATATTCCTCTGATAAACGATACTCATCATTAATTTGGGAACCTGTCTCCATCGGATGTCAGGGCTGGCCTCAGCACTCATTTTCAAACAGGTAGACCCCAGTTGTTACCAAAATGAGGGTGACAATCTGCTCAGTGACACAGAATAAACCCAGTCCTTACCCCTTTCACAGAGTAGGACTGGAGGGTCCCACGTGCCGTCGTCCTGGCACTGAGACTCGAGAGTGCCGTTTACAGCGTAACCTGCATCACATTGCACTGTCACGGTGTCCCTGGGGTTGTGGACAGGTTTGGTACCAGTTGCTTTTCCATTCTGCACTTTTGGAGAGCCACAGGTAACTGCAGAGCAGGAAAGTGTCATTAGTCTCACGTTACCTTGTTCTCATCACTATTCTTGTTAAATCCACCCAATCTTGATCCCCTGCTATAATTTAGCATGGAAATTCACCCCAGTTGAGAACACATGGTCATGAGGAGCTGCCGTAGTGGTGCTGGTGCCACCGTACAACAAATTTCAAATGCAAACTGAAGCAGCAGAGAAGAGAGGGTTATGCCGTGTCCAAAGGCGCTGCAGACATTTCTCTACAGACGCTTTTCCCTTGCAACAACCTGAGCATTACTGACAAGGTGAGGGCAGCCAGGTCCTCCATTATCAGATATTACCCCTTAGTCTGCTCTGACCCCACCCCCAAACCCCACTCCAGCATTTAAGCTTACCCTGACTGCAGACTGGGACAGGGGGATGCCAGGCCCCATCCTCCCCACACACGATCTCACGGCTGCCATTCAGGCTGTAGCCAGCACTGCATTCCAACCTCACGCTGTCCCCAAGGCTGTAGGTGGCGGTCCAGCCATCGAGGTTTCTTCCATTCAGGATCTCTGGGTTCGGGCAGGTGACAGCTGGAAATGAAACGTGAAATGTCGGTGGGGGCAGAAGGGGCAGCCCGCTTGGCCAGAGGGTCTCCTGCCTCAGACTCTGGTCCTCCTGCCCCACGCTGGCTGCCTGCTAGTGTCTGGGCACAGTTGTGACTTTTGATTCTTACAACAGAGTCCTAAGAATCTCTTCCTTGAGCCTTTGGGAAACACAGCCCAAACGCACCTTCACAGCGAGGGAGTGGGAGGCTCCAGACTCCAGATGTTGTGCAGTTAACTAATCCCTCTCCCACCAGGGAGTAGCCCTGCTCACAGCTGTAATTCACAGACATCCCCGTGGTGAATGTTTCCACATATTGGCTGCTGTGCTCGGCGTGAGTGATATTTGGTGGCAGGGGGCACTGCCGCACTGCAGGGAGGGAAGACGGTGTGACCTGAAAAGGCTCATTTCGGGTATTTCAAAAATGAGGAAATATTCCCCCAGCAAGCACAGAAGCCAACCCAGTGCTCCTGGCTGGGACTTCAGCTCGGTTCCCTAAGAACACTGCCCACCTATTGCCCCCCATCCCATTCACCTACCTCTGATCCTCTATCATGATCAGATCGCAGTTCTACCCTCTTTACTCCCCCCTCCAACACTTCCCTGTGTTAATAATTCCCTGCGTTAATGATAATAGTAATAGATTCATTTTGCGTCTGTTTATGGTAGGACTGGATTTGGTCCTTAATGTGCACTTCATTGTTGAAAGAACTTTAAATAAAAGGGGCACTTTTTTCATCTTATTATGCTTCTCTGATAACCAACGGTCACCATTGATTTAGGAATAGTGTAATGGGAAGACAAGCAGTCCAGGCATTGCTTCCTCTGTGCTCTTTTTGAAGAAGAGGCAGACACAAGTTACTACACAAATGAAGGTGGGAAGGATCAGCCATGTGACAGATTAAGTCTAGTCCCCTTGCAGATCTGAGAAACATTCCCAGGGTTGTTGCCTGTTGTGACACAGTGCTCATCACAGGGCGCTCACAGCTGACTGCATATCAAACACTCAGGCTCCTTTACCTTTTTCACAGACAGCAACAGGAGGATCCCACATCCCATCAACCTGACACTGAGATACATGGGTGCCCTTCACAGTGTAACCTGGATCACATTCCACTGTCACGCTGTCTCCGCGGTCATAGACAAGCTTTAATCCAAGGATTCTTCCATTATGAAGCTTTGGGATTTCACAGCCAGCTGCAGACCATGAAAGCATAATTAAGGCTTCACAGTAATCTTGTTCTCATCACCAATTATCTGTCTAATCTACGAAGTATCTTTTCTCCCCTGTGTTTAGAATAGCTGCTTGCTGAGCTAGGTCTATCTTTTTCTTGCCTGTTTGTACAGTCTCTATCACTGGGGGCCTCTGATCCATTCCAGGGGCTTCTAAGCACTACCACCAGACAGCTTTTACCTCCTCTAGTTATCAAGTCTTGTTAGTATATACACTGACCCATGTTTACCATCACAAGCCCCACCGCAGGGACTTTCCCTCCTCCATGTGCTGTCTAGACCCTGGCTAGGGGGGCTCGGGGGTCTGTTCTCCACCCCCCCCCCACGCCCTGGTCCCCATGGCCTGATGGATGCAGGCAGGAAGCAGGCTAGGGAGCAGAGGGACGAGGCAGCCCCTGCTCCACTGGAGCAGACAGCATAGCCCAGGGCTGCAAAGCGTCCTGGGATGCTGGGGGACTGTGAGTTAACTTGAACGAGGAAGGGGTCTGGGACAGAAATTCCATACACTAGTTTCACCTAAATCAGTTAAATCTGATACTACATCCAACCACGTTTATCTTAAACCAGTTTTGGCCATTTTAAAGCAGTTTATGTGCACTGAACTTCTGTTTTGTTACAGGTTTAAACCAGTTTCCGATCACTTAAACCAGTTTATGCGTAACTTCTGTCCCTAGCCAAAATTACAGGAATCTTTATACTGTTGACTAGAAGTATGCAAGGAGGAGGTAAACTTCACCCACACCTAAACCTGCCTCCAGCCCAAAGAGGGGAAAACCTGCAACACTGCACATAACTTTGTTGTCTTGAGAATCTCAAAGGATACTTTACCGGTATATTAAAACAGCGAGCTCTCACTAGTGGGGCACTTGAGCTCTGGACTTCAGAGAGGCTGAGCACACAAGTTTTCACATCCCCGAGTGACAGGTAGAGTTGAAAGCTAAAGGCATCCAAACACATATTTCTATTTCAACTTGTTCTAATCTGAGCTTGACCCCAGACTCCAAGCTAGGTCATTTTCCTGCCTCCACACATGACCATATGGGTAGTAACATTGTACTGTGCAGCCATCATTCCTGCCAGAATGCAGGTTGGGACAGGGGGATCCCAGACCCCATCCTCCCCACACTGGATCTCACCCCTGCCACTCAGGCTGTATCCAGCATTGCATTCCAACATCACCACGTCCCAGGGCTTATAGAAGGGACCACGACTATCCAGCTTCCTTCCATTCTGGATCTTGGGGTTTGTGCACCGAATCACTGAAAATGATGTCACAGGAAACATGAGCTGGAGCACAAGGGCCAGCCTGCTTGTCAAGGGGTGTTTCTGCTTCAAGAACCTGGTGCCAGTGCTCCACCCTGGCTGCCTGCTAGTCTCTGGGTAGAGGGGGTGGTGCTGAATTTTACCTAAAAAACCCAAGAATTTCATATCCTCCCACCTGAAATCTCTTCTCTCAAGGTTAGAGAACAGGGCTGGCTGCACAGTGCCCTGTGAGGGACCATCTGCTTTGGAACCTGCCCGTTGCACTTGGTCCAAAATCCTCAGATATATTTATGACACTGTTCTGATGGCAAAACCATTACAGGCATTTCTGAACTGGCAAAAGCCCTAGTGCTGACTCAATTACACTGGCAAAAAAGTGGCTTCCATCATCCCTTCCAAAGAAAATAATCTATACTGGGGAAGCCATGTCAGGAAGAGTTGGGTTTTTGGCTATGTAAGCTGGCTGTAATTAAATGAAAGTTTAATCTCCCCCATATGAATTTTGCTGCCCAGGTGAGCCTGTTCCTGAGGTCAGTTCAGCACCAAGAGCCTCCTCCTTTGGCTCCAGGGAAAACATCTAAGCGCACCTTCGCAGAGAGGGAGTGGGAGGCTCCAGGTTCCAGCCGCCGTGCAAAAAATGGACCCCTCTGCGACTAGGGAATACTCAGCATCACAGAAGTACTCTACAGACATCCCAGGGGTGAAAGCCTCTTTGGCCTGGTGTCTGCGCTCTGCATTAGCAATATTAGGAGGAGGGGGACACTCCAGCACTGAAGGGAGAAAAGAAAGTCCAAAGAGAGAGGCTGTTAAGGCTAATCTGCAAGAAGCAAGTCTCCAGCGCGCACATGGAGACCATGCATCTGAAGACTGAGACATGCAACCTAACCAGACAACCTCCTGCTCTCTCTCTTCATGGGCCTCAGATATGAAGAAGGGGTAATTTGCAGAAGACAGTCTGCCTTCCCCATAGGAACTGCACACTTTGAGGCCATCCACAGCTTGCTATGGCCTGCCCAGAGGTTCCCTCACATGGGCATGAAGGTGGCCAGTGGGCAAAACAGCCAGGGCCTTACTCCTTATGGGGTCTTTGAGATGGGAAAGCCCCATGTAACAGGGGGAAGAAGGGTGGGGAGTGGAAAGTGTTTTTGTCTCTACAAATCTGATCTGAAATATGAATGTGGTCTGCTAGGGTATATCTGCCTTCCATAGATAGCCTGCTAGACACAGCTCATCACAACAGGACTCCCTTCGGCTGCCCATCAGAGACTCAGGCACACCTACCCTTTTCGCAGTTGGCGACTGGAGGGTCCCACTCGCCTCCAAATTGACACTGAGACTCCTGGGCGCCGGTTGAGACGTAACCATGGTCACAGGCCACTACTATGATGTCCCCAGGTCTGTAGATGTCCTGGAACCCCATTACTCTTCCATTATCCACATATAAGTTTTTGCAGCCAACAACTGAAAGTGAAAGTGTAAGGGAGCTGTGAGGCTCAGTCCTTAATCTTTTCAGGCTCAAGGCACTTCTCAGTCTACTTGAAGCACCCCTCAGATAATGTCAGCTCTTAGTTTTCTCTCTTTTTTTGTTGACTAGACAAAAATAATGGAGCAATTGGCTGTTCAAAAAGACCTCAAAAGGGCAGAATGTTTTAGCAGTAGGGACTGCAATGTGAAAACTCTGGGTTTTTCTTGTGAATCATGTTTGCACACCTAACAGTGATAACACGCCATGGCACCCTGCTTGAGTATCATTGCTTTAGAGTTTGATCAGGCATCTGCTCTCTTTAGAGCTGTCACTTCATACCCATTCATACTTCAAGTGCATTTCTACACTACTGCACCTTCTTGCCACCTTTACAGATGGCTGCAGCACCTGCATCATCCAGCTGCACTGGGGGATAAGGGAGGTGGTTTCCTGGAGGCAGGTGGAGCGCCCCTTCCCGGGAGGGACCTCCGCCCTTGCACGTCTCACTGGGGGTTGAATCATGACAGTCATGCAGCTGGTGGCTCGTCTCAGGTTCTCTTCCCTGTTGTATGTCCAACCCACCCAGAGGCTCAATGGGCATTAGCAAAGAGATCACAAACACACCTGTACATCGAGGGAGGGGACGGCTCCAGGCTCCGGATGCCATACATTGAATAGACGTCACCCCAACAAGGGCATAGCCAGGTTTACAGCTGTACAGAAAAACCGATCCTGGGTTGAAGGCGTCCAAGGCCTGGTCAATGGGATTCCCATTGGCAATGGAAGGAGGTGGAGGACACTTTGGCTCTGGAAGTGGAGTGGGGCGGGGAAAAGAGAGGAGCAAAAACATTAAAGGAAAGGTCCTGTCTGGGGACAAAGAAGGCAAATCATAGTCCTGTGTACAACACATCAGTATGTCTGGGAAGAAGAGGGTCCACATAAGTATTTTCCCATTTTAACTGAGGCATGTTTCACATCTGCACCAAAGCCAATGCTTGCTTGTTTTACTAACAAGCGTCAGTGCTCGTGTTTCAGGTCGAGGCCACTGGAGCTGCATTAGCTGACAAAGCGACTTGCGTGGGACCTGCCTGGACACCCGTTACCTTCAGAGGCTTTCACACTCTCTCCATAAAGATTTCCCACGCTGCTCCTCTTCCCATCACTCTGATCCACTTGCACTCAGGGACTGCAACCCCAAGGATGTTAGTGCACAGCTCCACTGTAGAAACTGGCACTGCCTCTGCCCTACTAAGGCGCCACCTCTCGCAGTCACAGGAGGGCTCATTCTCAGGGGTGCAATATTTCTGCATCAACGAGTCCTCTTGTTCTCCTTCTGTCTATGCAGAATATACCACATCATGGACATACCTCAAGCATGAAGGAAGAAGCTGAGAGCACCCAAACGCACCTTCGCATCGAGGGGCAAGGTGGCTCCAGGCTCCAGATGCTGTACAGTGAAGCTGTGCTTCCCCTATCAGAGTGTAGCCAGGGTCACACTGGTAGCTGACAGACATCCCACTAGTGAATGCTTCCACAGCCTGGCTGTCGTGCTTCCCATTGGTGATGGTTGGAGCAGGGAAGCACTGCACCTCTACAGGGAAAGGAAAATAATACATGGACAGAAGCCTCAGTAGAAAGCAAACCTCAAATCAAAGCACCCCCAGAACATCTGCCAGCAAATCATGCAGCAAACAGATCAAACTCAACACCTGTAACAGATGTACACTTCCCAAGAGAATATTTTTGGCATTTTCTCCTGCTCCTGATCTATGATCAAGGCAGAGCTTAGAGTTACCTGCAGCTGACAAGCAGCTCTGTCCCCCTAGATTTAGGCCAGGAGGCCCAAAATACTTCCTAGTGAGGGCAAGTATGAACTCAGTGGTACTCTGCTATTCACTGGTCATGTTCCTACTTCCATCCAATACATAGCGGACAATTTTGGTGCCCATAATTTAGTATTCTGCACTGCAAGCATGTCTTTTTTTTTCAAATTGCTTCTAATTTGTAATAAATATAGCTCAAATTTGTTTGCTTCTAACAAATAATTATTCAAATAAATATAGCTCAAAAGTCACTGTTCTCAGTGGTGGGAAATGACAGAACAAGGTGCAATCATCTTAAGTTGCAGTAAGGAAAATTTAGGTTAGATATTAGGAAGAATTTCTCACTAGGAGGGTAGCAAAGCACTGGAACAGGTAACCCAGAGGGGTGGTGGAGTCTCCATCCTTGGAGGTTTTCCAGACCCGGCTAGACAAAGCCTTGTCTGGGATGATGTAGCCGAGGCTGGTCCAAAGCAGGGGGTTGGACTAGATGTGACCTCCTGAGGTCCCTTCCAACCCTCATTTTCTATGCAGACCTGGTAGGTATCTCAGCAAACAATTAATCAGTTCCCTGATTATTTGCCTCTGAATGCTAGAGGAAAGCTTATCTAATTATTAGACGGTTCACTCAGTATTGAAAGAACTTCCAAGTTCATGGCAAGATTCAGCAGAGGAAGCAGAAACACCTGCAAAAGCTGCAGACAGACCAATTCTTTCAAAGTCACTTCCCATTCCCAGACACTAGAAATCACCAGAAGAAGAAAAAAAAATGACCAGTTCAGTTCTAAGTAGAGAAGCAAGAAAACCCCATAGAAAAGCCCCAGTGTCCCTGCCAACCGGATCATTTCTCTGCAGTGACAGAAGCCAGGGCTTTTCAATGCACTATGGGAAGCACAGTGGTTGCACCAAAAAAAGGAAGTCAAAGATCAGTCTGCACTTGTATGAATGACCCTCTTCCCCCACCAGGTTCATTTTACACCCACGAGGCATCCTCTTTTCCTTTGGGACCATTCTGGTCCCCCAAGCTGTCAGCTTCTGAATTAAGAAGTTACAGTTTTGATACTTGCCCGGTTCACAAATGGGCACAGGTGGGTCCCACGAGTCATCAGGCTGGCACCGGCTTAAACTTTGGCCATGCATGGTGAAGCTGGGATCACACTCAAAGGTCACGGTGTCACCATACGTGTACACTTGTTGTATGCTGAATACACTTCCATTCTGGATTTGGGGGACTGGACACCTCACCTCTGAGAAAGAGAGGGTTTCTCTCAATAAGGGAGCACCGGCTCTCCAGCCCATGAGGCTATACAGCCCTGCAGCCTTCATACTTATGGCATGGTCCAAGCAATTTGTCACATGAGGACATTTTTAAATACCCATCCAGGTCCTAGGATGGACAGTGCTGCACTTCAGTGCATCACCCCAACTAGCTTGATGTCCTGTACTCAAGCCAGCGGCCTCTGTAAGCCACACTCAGGGAACTGTTTTTCGTTGACAGGAGACTTCAGCACGTGCAGGGCTTGCAGGGAAAAGGTGTCTGCCCTACAAGCAGATTTTTCTTGTGCAAATGCAGTAGGATGCAGGAAGAGCAAAAGCCAGAGTTCTTCTACTGTGGAGCATGATTTAGCCTCGTGGGTTGGTCTACAATCTTTAATGGCTGCACTACACACCTCTCTCCTGACCTTGCTCAGATTCCCGTGCATCAAATGCACGGTACCCTCCCCCCAGATCTTTGCCCCCTTCCCCAGCCCACTCCGTCTGTCCAACACAAACCTTGGGGATTTCTTTGGAAGATCTGGCTAAGGACAAGAAGACAAAGAGCAAACCATGGGCCTCTTCTACAGGCTGGTTTTTCAGAACCTGGCCTGTCCGGACAACAAGCAGCAGAGTTGGACTGCGAACTAGCACAAATGCAGACACACAGACCCACCTCCACACCGAGGGGCTGGCCCGCTCCACACTCCAGTTTGTCCATCTTTGGTTGTGCAGTAAAGAAAGTTCTCTCCATTGAGCGGGTGGCCAGGGTCACACGTGTACCTTATAGATGACCCATAAGAGAAGTCTTCCAACAAGTGGCCATTGTGTGTCCCATTGTGAATATCTGGAGGTGATGGACACACAATACCTGGAGGGACAGAGAAAGAAACTCTAAAATCAGTGTGAGCAAAGAAGCAACTCCTTGGTCTGGGATATAAAGATACTTGCCCTGGGTGAAACAACTCAAAAGATCAAGGCTGACAATGAATGCTGCCTTGTTAATTTGACTCATGTCTTTTTGGACATCAAAGCCACATATGCCACCAAATCAACTTAAAACAGGGCCCTAACATGAAAGGGGCTGCTGCTTCTCTCAGATGTGCTTTTCATATCTACTTGTTAATCTCTACAGAGTCTGGAAAAAGCCAGGATTTCCTTTGAGCACTATGAGCTGATGTGCACACTACCAGGAGAAATACAGATAGTTCGTTTCAAGCAATTAGTTGCATGCATGTAGTTTTATGAACGTACAATCAGGAAATATATCCATTGTAAGGCTACACAAGCACCTAGCCAGAGAGATTCCTGGAGTTGGATATAAAAAAACCCACGCAGCTCTTAGCCCACAGAGCTTTCAACTCACAATAATTTTCCTTTCCACACATGGGATCAATCAAGACCTCTGGCAGCATTTTGCAAACCAAATTAAAGAGAGAAATCCCAGCCCCGAGGGAAGAACGCTTTCCCCAGTGGAAGCCTCTGGTTTTTAATAAATCAATATTTTCTCCGTGACAAATGGTTCTGATAATCTCTAGGTGTGGTGATAATCGTGATAATCTCTAGCTGTCACTGACTCACGCTGACACTCAGGAGGACTTCTGCTCCATGCAACTCTCTGGCCAGAAATTTCACAGCGCCTGAGAGGCATCCCGGTCAGCTTGTACCTGGAGAGTTAGAAAGACAGGATTAGCAGCTGACACCAGTTTCTTGGCTTTGACCCCTCACATCCTTTACCATCTTCAGGAGATGGCCAACAACACGCGTTCCTTTTGACCTATAATGCTAAGGGAGAGGGTTTCCTGACAGCTCAGTCCAGCTCAGCCATTTTTAACAGCTAATGCTTGGGACAAAATCCTAGAGGCCCCATAGTATACTTCCAGACTGAGATCTAAGTTTCCACCCTGTTTCTTTGCCCATTTTCCTTCTCACTATGCAACTGCATCGCTCCTCAACATGCTGTGACCAGCCGTAGGCAAAACCATTTTTCCACATGGAGTCTTGTGCCTGGCAGAGTCCTCAGCTGCCCCAATGCCCAGTGGCCTTTGCAAAATAAATGACAAGCATGAAACGTGGAGGAAAAAAAAAAGCCAAGAGGATGATCCCAATGCCTGGTTCCATGCAGGTCGCAGGGACGTCAGTGGATGTAGCTCCACTGCTGTGGTCAGCGGAAGAATAAACTGTAGGTGCAAGTCGGGGTCAAGCTGGGGAAAGTGCATTGTGCAGCACTGTCCCAAACAAGATGCAAACAATCAGTTCAGGCTTGAAACTCACCCTTCCTCGCAAGTGTAGTTCACCGTGGAACCGAACAGCAGATCCGTTACAATGATGACTCTGCCATTCCTCGGTTCTTCTGGGTGCCCACACGATTTCCCTGAGAGAAGGAGGCTAGTATGAGACTTCTCTCCAGAAATGCCACAATGCAAGAAGTACAACAATTGGAATAAGGAACTGCCCGTCATTCAGGCCACCTGCAAGGAGGGGATCTTGCAGGGCAGAGACTCTGCTGATTGATGTGATTTTACTGGCAACACGCTGCTAACTGACCAACACGCATCTCACAGCAGAGACAAAAACCTACTTTTACAGATCTCCGGTGCTGCTGACCACATTTGAGTGTCAAGGCATGTAACACTGAGGGACATTCCTGGGATTTTTGCATATCCAGGCCGGCAAGTGTAGGTGACAGTCGTCCCAATGGGGAAGTTATCCTGAGGTTCATCACTGTTTTTTAGTTCAGCAAAGCTTAACCGTGGTGGGACACCACAGCCACCTAGCCAAGAAAGCACATACAAGAAATCAGGCCCACTTCTACTTGCTAATTCATAAAATACAAGCATGTCAGGAACAGGGACATCAAACAGCCTGGCACTATGAAAAGCCTTATACACATTCTGCCAGTCCTTAAAACAGTGACTGGCTCCCCGTCTCTCACTCATGCACCCAAAACATTGCTGTCTGCTTTACATAATCCAGCTGGGTCTCCATGCCCCTTGTGTCTTCAGTCGTATGTTACCACTAGCTAAAGATGAGATGATCCCAATAGTCCTATTCTAGCCTGAGAATCACAAATTTATCATTTACAAAGGTCTAAAGGAACCACTGATATAACCACAGAGCAGTCCCTCCCACAGGGCCCAAGTATTTCACTGAGACAGACAGGAAACCTCATCAAAGGAGGCACCCATCTCTCTCTGCTCTTCGTTTTCTGCATGCGAGTGACTTGGCCATGGTCTCACACACCGCTAGGCAGAATGAATGAGGAGACAGACTCATGAAGTTGGACTATTGCTCCCCAAAGTATTTGACAGGCCATACACAGCAAAAGTCTCACTTTGCGAGCTGTCAGACTATTGTGCAGAATGGAGTAACGCAGGGCTGGAAGTCATCTTCTGGTTCATATAACCTAGTCTCCTTACTACCACAGGCAGTGCCCAGGAAGATGCAAGGACACATGCCTTCCCTTGGCAGTGGGCACAGTTCTACTGCGGCAGTAGAGCTTCCCATGCCAACCACATGTTTGGCTATGCATGTCCAAAATGCACCTGAACAAACAGGATAAGGCAGGCTCCAGGTCCCAGACTCCATGCAATGGATGGAGGCCTCTCCAACAAGGAAGTAGCCATGATCACAGCTGTAGCTGACAGACGTGCCACTTGGGAAAACTTCCAGGACCTGGGCTCTGTGCTTTGCATTGGCAATGGGCGGAGGTGGAGGACACGGCAGCACTAAGAAGGGAGAGGTCAAGGAGAACAGGTCAGTGAAATACACATATAGTCCATGCTTACATGCAACAAGGAGAGCAATTGCAGCCTAAACTCTGCGACACTCTGGGAACAGGCCATTAACCAAGCCTCTGGGGTCCAGGAGGTGAGCAGGAAGAACGGGGTCTCCTACCACAGGGAGTAGTGTGCTACGGAGGCAGGGAAGTCCACACTGTTTCCTGTTCACCAGGGGCTTTCTCCAGCACAGCAATGTCAGTTGTGGGCAGAGGCTGGGGAGGCGCCATATGTTTATGACATCCATTTTCTACTAGCAAAAGTTGAAGGATTCTGCATCTCATAAGTAGATCTTTGCTCTGCTCTCCAGAGCAGGTGATTCCCACAAGAGAACCTGCCTCTCACCAGAAATCCCTATACTTTGGGCTCTCCTGGATGTAGCCTCGGGCTACAATGTGGGAAAGGACAAGGATCATAGCAAACAGCAGGGAAAGGGAACCCTACAAAAAAAAGTGAGAGCGCATCGCAACACAGCTGCATCTCACCTCCGTCAGGTACATCCCTTGCCTTTGGAACCATTCTTGTCTGCCCCCAGACAAGTGTGTAATGTCTGCCACTCTGAGCAAAGGAACAAGCAGGAAAATGCTTGATGGGTTTAGTTTCGGGCAATTTCATGGAGACAGACTATTCCCTGTGGCTGCAGGGGACAGGACAAAGAATTACGGTCTCAAACTGCGGCAGGGGAAGCTTAGGTTGGCGATCAAGAAGAACCGTCTCACTCTGGGGGTGGCTAAGCATTGGACTAGGCTGCTTAGAAAGGTGGACTCTCCAGGTTTGGGTATTTTTGAGAGCAGGTTAGACAAATACTGGTCTGGGATGGTTTAGTCAGGAATGTTCCTGCCTCAAACAAGATGCTGGACTAGATGCAATTCCTAAGGGCCCTGCCAGCCCTACCATCCTGTGGAGAGGAGGTAGTGGAGAGAGGTGAATGGAGACCACCATTTATGGAGGTAGAGGGAGAAGAATGGAGACCACATTAAACAGCACTTGCCCTGTTCGCAAACTGGCAGAAGTGGGTCCCACGTGTCATCAGACTGGCACCGACTCCGATTGCGGCCCCGCATGGTGTAGCTGGGATCACACTCAAAGGTCACGGTGTCGCCATACGTGTAGACTTGCTGCAGGCCAGATACACTTCTTCCATTCTGGATTTGAGGGACTGGACATCTCACCTCTGAGAAAGGAGAGGGCTTCTTGTAATAAGAGAGCATAATGGAAGGGGAAGAGGCTCTCCAACCCACGTAGCTGCACAGCTCTAAAGCATTTCACACTTAGGGCATCTCCAAACAAGACATTTTTCAATACCCATCAAAGTCCTAGGACTCACAAGAGCTTCACTGCAATGCATCACGCCAACTACACAAACACAACCCACCTCCACACCGTGGGGCCGGTCCACTCCACACTCCAGTTTGCCCATCTTTTGTGGTGCAGTGAATAGAGAACTCTCCAGTGAGTGGGTAACCTTCACTGCATGTGTAAGTCACAACTGATGCATAGTAGAACCCATCCCTGGAGTGGCCATCGTGGTTCCCATGTTGAATATCTGGAGGTTGAGGACATTTAATATCTGGGGAGACAAAGAAGGAGAATTCTCAAGTCAGTATGAGCCAAGAAGCATCTTCAGTCACTTTATTAGTTCAATAGTTATCCTAGCTCTGAAACACATAGATCAACGCAGGGCAAACAGACTCATATTTTCTTGGGCACCAAGGCGACATACACCAAACTGACTTCTTAATGCTCGGCTCTAACAAGAAAGGGGCTGTGACCTCTTTTCTCTGGTCCCTATACACTCTGGAAAATTCCAGTTTCCTCTGTGCACCATTTGCTGACGTGCACCCAACCCAGATAAATACAGGCAATCAGCTCTATGTTCATTTTTCAGATGTTTTATTATATTAGACAAATCTGGCAATTAATTTTTTCCCCTCCACTAACCTGTTTATGTTACTTAGTCTTCAAAGAAAAGACAAATTCTAGTTATCAGAACCTGGTGCCTCTCATTACTCCCTGCAATAAAGTCCACAGAACAATTCTAGTGTTAAGATAAGGTCCCAGGGCCTGGGTGACCGAGGTAAAATGGCTTTCCCTGACACAGATGCACTGCGTGACCTGCCAGATGGAACTTCATCGATCTAGGTCTCGCTGTCCAGCTTTTGAATGAGGATGGCAATTCAATTCTATTTACTATCATTCGTAGGGCCTTCAGTTCAGGAAGGCACAGGGCCACATCACACCCAGGCAGGGAGACGTGACTGGGAAAATGTGTTTTTTTGCCCGAACATGTTGGGAACGTCAAAGATTTCCCAACCTGCATCAAGAATCCAACTAAGGCATTGCATCAACAACAATAAAAAAACAAAAGAAATTCCACCCTGGAGATGGGTCGGCTTTTCTGGATGACAATGACTACCACATTAATGAAATGGTTATTTCCAGCAAAAAGCCATATCCTTAAACAATTTCCAGCCACCTCCAGTTGTGTGAAACCCACTTACACTGACAGGTGGGAGCATCGCCACTCCATGCGACGCGCTTGCCAGACACTTCGCAGTGCCTCTGCAGCTGTCCAACCAGCACGTACCTGCAGGCAGACAGAAGGAGTCAACAGGAGCTACCAAGACATGTAAATCCTCACCTTCCTTCCAGCCACAGGACACGCCAGCTCACACGTGCCCAATTTTTGACCCGAAGCAAACAACTTCTTTTTTTGCGTTTGAACAAGCTCAGCCAATTAATGGCCAGTCCCTGGCACAGAGTCCTATAGAGTCCACGTGCACCGACTGGTTGTTGAGCAGCTCAGAGGTACATGTCTCTTATGCCAGCTATATCAAGTTCTCACTTAGTCCCATTTGCCAGGTGATATATTTTTGTGCAGTCTTTTATGATACTCCATAGCAAAAGCAAATTAAATGCAAGGGGTCTGCATCTTTGAATGAGGTCCCCTTGTCATTGATCAGCTAATGACTGATCGGGTCTGTTGTAATCCACATGTGAGATACCAGCCGGGCCTGCTCAAGATCCTTATGCAGACACCATGCTGGGAACTTGTGCAGTCCTGAGATGAAAGCAGGTGGCAGCTACTATTGTCACAACCTATAAAATTGGTCTATCTGCAGATGCCGACTCTTCCCTTTCCTGCCACTACATACATCACGTACGAGAATAAAGTCGGTCCCACTCCAATGACCTCTGCTTTTTTCACCATCAGAGCAGAGATTGGGCAAGCAACGTTCCCTTCTGCCACCACAGCCCCTGAGCTGTCACTTTGGAGCTTCCCCAAGCTCAGTCTCACTACTAGAGCTATCCCAGCCTACTAGCAGGTGGGAAGTTGAGCAGAAGGGGCTTCACATCCCCATGAGAGGAAAGAAAGTCATCTCACACTGCTCAGGACTAGAACTAGTCCACTTCCAAGCAGGTTTCAAACCAAAGCAGCTCTAAGCTTTCCCTTGCCCAACACCACCAATATTCCTAGCAGGACAACTGCTTAAAGCTGCACAACCTCAAATAGGGAGCAGACAGAAGTTATGTTTGCCATGCAATCAGCCCCTTGAAAGCACTCTACAGCCGTGCCCTTACAGAAAGGGCTGGCTGCAGAGTGCTTTAAAAGGGCCTGATCCTATGACAATCTGAACCTGAGGTGGGGGGGAGGGAGGGGGAAGTGGGGCTCCAATCGACCCACCCCAGTCTCCAGCACTGGCTGAAAAAACCCCAAACTGAGCTTCCTCCACTCCCATTCTGAAGACAGTGTTGGGGCTAGGAACGAGGAGGTGCAGGGCTAGGGGAGAGGTCTTGGACTTGTACCTGCTTCAAATTGCAGGTTGATCCCCCAACCCCCGGGTCCCAACAGCAAACGTCTGCTGGATCCAGGGGATCACTGTAACTCATGGTGCTTCCTGCAAAGCACCATGAATTATAGCGCAGGAAACACCATGAGTTATGGTGGGGAGCTGCACTTGTGTCTGCACCCACAAAAACTAAGTCACTTCAGACATCTTGCAACTTACCCTTCATTACAGGTGTAGTTCACTCTTGACTCAAAGAGAAGATCTATTATGATGACTCTGCCGTTCTCTGGGTCTTCCGGCAGAGCGCACGATTTCCCTCGGAAAAAACAAGGCTAGTGTGAGGCTTTTTTCCTTCCATGTCATAATGCAACATGTATATGAAAGATCCTAAAACTCTGCCTAAGATTCAAACTGCCCCCAAAAAGGGCAGTATTGAAAGAAGAGAACGCACCAACTTACATGGCTTTACTTGTCACACACTAACTATTGAACAAGTGTAGCAACTCAACTTTTTTTTTTTGCAGCGTTGACAAAAACCTACTTTTACAGAACTCAAGTGCTTCTGACCACGTTTGATTCTCAAGGCACGTAACAGTTTGGGGTTTTTCCGGGACTTTAAAATATCCAGGCAGGCAAGTGTAGTTCACAGTCTTTCCAACCAAAAAGCCATTCTGAGTTTTATAGGGACTCCATAGCTCCGCAAAGCTTAACTGTGGCGGGACACCACAGCTCTCTAATCAGAAAGAAAACACACATACACAAGAAATTAAAGCCATTTCTATCATGGTGGCATCTGAAATGCAAGGGTATCAGAAGCAGGTAAGTAAGATAGAGGTGCCACAAATAAAGGACGGTGCAGCAGGTTTGTCTGAACATTTCCTTTAAATCCTGCTCTCTGACTGACACCTCCCAGCAGAAGGAAAAGCAGGTAACACACGCACTTGAGCATGCGGGATAAGGCAAACTCCAGGTTCCTGAGGCCGTGCAATGGATGGAGGCCTTTCCAATCAGGGCGTAGCCAGGCTCACAGCTGTATCTGACAGACGTCCCACTGGGGAAGGCTTCCAGAAGCTGGGCGCTGTGCCTTGCATTGGTGACGGGTGGAGGTGGAGGACACGGCAGCGCTAACCAAGGGGACAGGGGAAGCAGAAAAGTCAGTGAAATCCCTACACAGACAATATTACAATCGAAGAGGCTGCAGCCTGTGTAGCAAGGCCCGCCCTAGATTTCACCTAGAAAAGCTGAGGTACAAATGAAGCTGTGACAGCCTGGCATTCTCCACAAACTCTGCCAGCACACCCAGCATCCTGGAAGAGAAGTTGAATCCCGCCATGTTGCGGCTGCACTGCAAATGGGTCCAGGCTACTGTAGCTATAATGAGTTCTGGCAGCTACAGCTTCAGGACTGACCATCCATCAGTTAAAACACATACCCACCCACACCCCCAAAGCTTGCAGCAGACTCATATAAAGCAGACACAAAGCCTCAAAAGACATGTGTCTAATTCACACCAATCATCATTTTAGTGAATCAACACACACCAAGCCCTCTGATGATATTTTTCTATCTCCAAAGGCGTCCCTTTATAGCCAAATGGATCTCAAATGTGATATTCAACATCAGATGATCACTTCAGATTTCTGTTTTCCGTAGGGACTCTATTTCAGGAGGACAGGGATTAACCTTTCACAGTGATGAATAAAGAAGAGATGAAGATATTTGTTTCATCCTTAGATCTGAATCGGACCCCAGACAATATTTCTGGCCCTGTGCACAACCCTGCTGGACATTTCCTATCCCCAGAACCAGGCACCGACCACAATTTTTGCTGACCTCGAATGCAGGATGGGATGCGGGGATCCCAGCTGCCATCCTGCTGGCACTGGATCTCATGGCTGCCATTCAGGACGTAGCCAGCATTGCATACAAAACTCACGCGGTGCCCAAATGTATATGCAGAGCCACGTCCATCCAATTTCCTTCCATTCTGGATCTCTGGATTTGGGCAGACGACCACTGGAAATTAAACCATGCAAAGTGTGGGCTGAGGGAGAAGGGCAGCTTGCTTGGCAAGCAGCCTTTCTGCCTCAGAGCCTGATCCCAGTGCCCCACCTTGGCTGCCTGCTGTCTGGGCACAGGGCTTGGTGCTGAGTTTGACCTATAAAATCCAAGCTGCTTAGTGCCATCCTGACTGAGGCAGCACCTCTCCCATTCTGCTGTTCAGTCGCTCCTGTACCCAGCAGAGGTGCTGGATCACTTACAGGGTAAGTGCAAGACCCCCAAAGGGTTCTCAGCCTTGGTGCCAGCCCCCTGCACTTGGTCTGAAATGGCTGGAGTCTGTGGGCACTTTACAGACTTCTGCCTGGCCGTCCAGCAACCTGGAGTCATGTCCACACAAGTGGTTTCAGCCAGCCCATCAACCACGTGGCAAGGAGGGGCACAGCGTACAGACCTGGGCATTTTTATACTAATAAAAGTCTGCATGTGACCTCGGCTGTCATGGCAGAACAGTGCCTTTTCCAGGGGAGCCACAGTGACAAAACCTTTCTTTGACTCAAACAAGCTCTGTCCGTGCTCAGGTGGATCTGACTTCAGCGTGTGTGTGTTTCAGTACACTGTGAGAAACAGCCAGGGATGGGGAAGGACACAGGGACACTGCCTACACACCCTTCATTTTCCCAAGCATGTGTTACAGCCTGCATGTAATTCAACTGGGATTTAATCCTCCCTATGAATTTTGTATCACTGGCAAGACTATTTCTTAAGGTCAGTCATGTGCTACAAGTTCCTTTCCTTGCACTCCAAGAATCCAAACCAAAACCCTCACTTTCACATTGAGGGTAGGGACGGCTCCAAGATCCAGATGCCAGGCATTGAATGGACGCCTTCCCAACAAGGGTGTAGCCAGAATTGCAGTAGTAGAAAGCAGACGTCCCGTTGACAAAGGTGTCTGAGGCTTGGCCTTTAAGCTTCCCATTAGCGATGCTTGGAGGTGAGAGACACTTCACCACTGAAAAGGAGAGAGGAAGAGAGGTGGGAAGGCATTCAAGTAAAAGACTGGGGAAAAACAGCATAAATAGTCCCATCTCCGGGAAAAAGGAGGAGACGACGGAAACAGTGGAAATGAGAAATCCCAGCCCATCCGTATCAAATCATACCCAGCCTTACAGCAATGATTCAACAGAGACCAGAAGAGAAAGTTATCCACCTGGGTTCCTCTCCACCCCAGAGATATACATTCGTTTCAGCACACACAGTTATTCCCCTCCTCTACATCTTCACCCTTTTGGACATCCCCAGAGACCATCCTATGCCTTGCCAGGACCCCACGGGGTTTCTGAATTCAGGACTGGGAGGAAAAAATGGAAAAAGTGTGTCTCCAGGAGTCTGTACCCATGAAAGTCCACTTTTAGTCCTGTGACTACATCAGCGATTGCTGGTTTCTGTAATTCATGTTAGCACCAGTGCCACTCTCAGTGCTGAGCCGAATAACAAATGTGTTATTCAGTGGCCTGCCTGAACAACCCGTTTCCTAGAGAGCCTCTCATGGTCTCCTCATAAAACATTTGCCCTTTCCCATCACTGCCATCTTGAACCATTTGTTCATTTGTAGCACATGCTCTGCTACCTGCTTTGTACCTCAAAGGCTGAGTACAGGACCAGAGCTATCACCGGGTTAGCAAATAAATTAGTTTTATGACTTCTGATAAGTTATATGCTTAAGAAGTCACAGCCTCTCACTCTTCTATCACGTGCATGTTCACAGCCTCACACTATTCTTCCCAAACAGGTTAGCAGGTGTAAGAAAAGCCTCTTTTTTGGGGACTGTTCTTGCCGCCCCACAAACCAATTCATAAAACCTCTTAATCTGAGGGGAAGAGCAGCACAGCCCAGTTCAGGTTTGGTTTGGATGGGAAAGGACAGGTAGGAGCAGCCCCGTTGCACAACAACAAATCACAGCTCAGATACTTGCCCTGTTCACAAACTGGCACAGGTGGACGCCACGAGTTGTCAGGTTGGCACGAAATCTTACTCTGACCACGCATGATGTATCCATTATTGCACGTAATGGTCACAGTATCACCAGAGTTGTAGGTACTTTTGAAGCCACGTACAATTCGCCCATTTGAGATCTTGGCGATGGGACAGCTGTGTGCTGGAAATTCTGATGGTAATGAGAGGGCAGCGAGATGCAGAAACAGTGCAGAGGAACCCTTTAACAGTAACAGTGCTTTCTTCACAGTGTTGCCCGTGCACCAACCTCCAGCTCATGGATGCTCCATGGGTAAATGACATTGAGCCCAATGCTGCAAGGTGCTGACAGCCCTCCACCCCATTGAAGGGGCCTGGCAGCCTCAAGACTAGGCCCCGGTTGCTTCAGGGACCTAACTCATCTGAACCAAGCACCTTCTGGACCCTCCCCAGTCTCACTCCATCCAGGATGGGTCAAAGGTCCTAAATAGCCAAGAATACAACCTACTCTGACAGCAGAGTTCCTTGATGAGTGCATCACATGGCAACAACCCCCCAAAAGAAATCCTCCTGACCTGCTCCAGCACTATTCAGACCTTTTAGGACATGAACTGTGGAGACCTAGGTAATAGCAGGAGCACCAGAGCAAAACCTTAACAGAATTATCACGGTGGCGGGTTTCTCCAAACCTGGCATTTCTGAGCATGGCACAGCAGAGGCTGCATATGTGCGAGCAGGCACAGACACACACACGCACCCTACACACAAAGACACAGACATGCAAAGACAAACCCAACCTCCACAATGAGGGGGAGGCCCACTCCACTCTCCATTTTGCCCATCATGGGTTGTACAGTAAATAGTCTCCTTTCCAATGAGCGGGTATCCTCTGTCACATTTGTAAGTCACAGCTGACCCATAAGAGAAGTCATTCTCGTACACGTATTTGAGGCTGCCGTGCTCTATATCTGGAGGTGGAAGACATGGGATACCTGGGGAGACACGAAGAAGTGTGTTAAAGTGAACCCTCACAGAAAAGATAAGTGCTCTAGGAGAAGAAACCCCACAGAATTTGTCTTCACTATGAAATCACTAGAATGATCCAGGTTCACAGGTGATGCTCCTTGGATAACTGGACCCCCTTTTTCTGGAGCACGAACGCCATGTAAGTCACCACGAGGCTTGGTCCTAATAAGGAAGGAGCTGTTCTCCTCTGGTTTAGGATCGGCACGACCCTATTAAGGATGGAAAACAGTGTGGTTTACCCCACGCACCATGCAGCAGCATACATTCTGCCAGGGCAATGCTGGTAATAAGCATCAGGTTTATTTTCAGATCAATACACACAAGGCAAATACATTCAGCAAGTTAACAATGCAGAGGGGTCATGAACCATCCTGATGGTTTGTGTCTGCCATGCCAAGGTCAGTGCCATCTGAAACGGCCCAGGCTTCAAAGAAAGAACAAATGCCCACTGCCAAGACCTCATCAACACTTACCTGTTCCTGAGGACCACCCCCACAGGCTGTTTTTGTGATTCTGGTTTTAATTTTGATCTCTGACATCCATGGGACCTCCTGTAAGTGACTCCATCCCCCTGCACCTCACATCCAGGAGAATGATACTCCCTTCCCTTTCCATTAACTTTTGAGAGACACAGCAATCAGAAATGGCCACTCAGAAATTAAGACAGGCAGCCAAGGACAAGAGCTGGAGGGAAAAATCAGTTTCACCAGAAATTTGAGGTTTTAAAACTTCCCATCCTCTATGTAGGGACAATACAAAGAGGTTGCCCACTACCTTGTCTGAGGTAAGGGAATTCCATCCCAGGCCTGAAAAGCCTCTCCCTGCTAATTAACGGGGATTTTCCAGCAAAACAACATTTTGTTGAACAATTCTTGACCAGCTATAGTTGTGGCCTACTTACGTTCACAAATGGGAGTAGCTCCACTCCATGCAACAGTTTTCCCAGAAATCTGACAGTGCCTCTGAGGCTGTCCAAGCAACCTGTGCCTGAAGTGAGAAAGAAGGGGTTATCACTTGACCCCACATCACTTGATTTGAGCCCCCACTTCCTCCCAGGCACAAGAGGTAGCCACCAACCCTCCTGACTTCCGAGCCAGGGCCTCAAGGAAAAAGCATCCTTGACATTTCAGACGTGCTAACTAACTGCAAGCCCCAAATATAAAACTCTGGAATCAGACCCCAGAAGTTTGAGAGCTGGGATGTTCAGGATGTAGATCCCCTCGCCTCACACCCTTGAGGACAGACAAGGACTCAGGGCTGCAATGCCAAAGCAGTTTTCAAACAAGTGATACTGCAGTTTCCTCTGCTCACTTGTATCCACACCCCGACCCAGGACCTTGTTCCTGTTCCCTAGCACCTGCAGGAGGGTGCTCAGCTGGACACAGCATCCCTTGTCTTGCAAGGAAAAGACAGAGAATGTGCCCAGGCAGCTTTCTCTGCAGGAAACAGTGTTACAACTGAGACCAAAACACCCGTCTTGCCTTCCTGTGCTAGAGTAAGCTGCACACGGGAGCAGAGGGGCTGAAGGGGGAATCACTGTGCTCTGCACAGCTTCAAGCTAAGTGTAAGCAGTGCGCTCAGGCAGCCCAGACTCACCCTTCCTCGCAGGTGTAGTTCACGGTGGCCCCAAACAGGATATCTGATTGGACGATGACTCTGCCGTTCTGCGGCTCTTCCGGGTGACCGCACGATTTCCCTGGGAAAGAAAAAGGTGAGGGTGAGGTTTCTCTCTTTCTGGGTCACTGTGTCGTAAGTACAACAATCTGGCCATGTTTCAAACTGCCCACGGAGATGGTATCCTCAGAAGCAGAGAGCAGGACGAGTTGCCTGGCTTTGCTAGTCACACACTGACCATTTAACCACAAAACACAAACCCCACAAATGACAACTCCCACATGTTTGCAGCAGGGGCCAAAGCAGTGAAGCTACTCACTTGTACAGAAGTCAAGGGTATCTGTCCATTCACCACTCCTAAGGCATTTAACAGAAGGTGGGGTCCCTGGTTTTTTAGAGTATCCAGGCTGGCAGCTGTATTTCACGATCTTCCCAATAGGAAAGCTGTTCTGGGTGGCATACTCTTCGAGTGGCGCAGCAAACCTTAACCTTGGTGGAGGACCACAGCCATCTGGCAAGAAAAAAGAGACACGTGATTAGGTAGAGCCATGAATTCTGTGCTGACATATGAAATGCAAGGGACTGTGCAGACTGATGAACTAGCCAGGGCTGCAATGGAGGGACTGATTAACTGCCTTATGAACAAGCCAACTAAATGAACACACGCTCGCCAAATGCACAACTAGTGTTAAATTACACACATGCACACTCACATCCCTACCCCATGTCCAATCTTTGCTGTACTCAGTATTGTACATTCATGCTCCTAAACGGTGCCGCTGTTCAGTATTATGGACACTGAAATGCTAGACAATCACTCTGACCACTTCTGGCCTTATGTCAGATCAGTCTATGCTCAGTTTATGGCCAAACAAATCTATCATATTTCCTGTAAAGTTTCATCTCTCAAAGGGTCCAAGGGCTTCACATATGCTAAAATGCAGCCTATTCACAGGGTGGGCTTACCTCTTCCTCTCATTTTTCAGTGACAGCTCCTCCTCTCAGCTAGAGGGCTGGGAACAGAAGGAACCAGCAGACACAATCTCTGTACCTAAATAGCTGCTTTCCAAAGGGATCTGGTAGTTCATAGCTGGCTCTAGCTTCACCTTATGTGCTTACAAACTGTTCTCCATACCACAGTTTGTATCACTTGTCTGGTTTATCTTTTCAGTGCCTATTGACCCCCATTATACAGCAAGAATACCAACATTTCCAGTTCACACCTGGGTTTAACCCAGGCCAAGTTCTACACGTCCCTACGGCCTACAACCCAACGTGCAAATTTGAACAGAGCACGTTCCGTTCCAGTGCCATGATAATAATTTCCCCAACTCTTCCTACAGTGTCGTATCTACCAAACACTTCTATAATTGTCTCCACCTTACTACCCAACCCAACAGCATGCAGGGAGCCATGTCCTTTACTGGCATAGAAGTAACACACACGTTTTCAGGGGTGTTGGTTGTAGCCGTGTCGGTCTAAGGACAAGGTTCTTCGGGTAAATCTGATATCTTTTATTGGACCAACTGAAATAGTTAGAAAAAATATGTCCAACTATTTGAGTTGATCTAATCAAAGATAGATTTACCTAAAACATACTTTTTCAGGGCATTTTTGCACTGAGGCAAAGAATGTTTCTAGAGTCCACACCAAGCACAGCCCTCTGAGCCTCATTAAAGATGCAGTCCCCAACTGTGAGCTTTGCTGCATCAACACAGTTGTCTGGACATCTTCTTTCCTTCGATTGCCATTGTTTCTGTGACTGACGTACTGACAGGCAAAGGACTGCACCAGCAGGAGATATACGCACTTGTACACCGAGGATAAGGTAGACTCCAGGTTCCTGACTCTGTGCAATGAATGGTGCCCCTTCCAAACAGGGAGTAGCCACGATCACAGTTGTAGATGACAGACATCCCAGTGTGGAAGGCTTCTAGGCCCTGGGCAGTGTGCCTCCCATTGTCTATGGCTGGAGGTGGAGGGCACGGCACCACTGAGCCACGGGAGAGAGGAAGGAGAGCGGGTCAGTGAACAAAAAATCACCTTAAAAGTGAAGAGCAGCCAGATTCACAAAGAGAAGGAAAATTTCCCTCCAGGCAGACGTTACATCAAACTTTTTGTTGAGCTAGCAACTTAAGACATGCTAGGATGATGTGGGCACGCCTACCTAAATATCGCTCCAGCCCAGAAATGAAAGGACTCCATTGGGCTACTTTCCTACCCCCGAATATGCCCTTCAGAGTCTTTGATATGTATAAAATGTACATGTCTACATTAACAGCAGGGATTGTCCATCATTGGGACACTCATAGAGCTCCATGTCAGGGGTCACCTACCACAGGGACTGGTGCAGGAGAGACAGGGGGAAGTCCAAGCAGACGTTTGTATTTTCCATGTTGGCCGCTGAAAGCCGATGCCAGGATTCCCAGCAAGTTCACTTACCCCTCCATGCATGGCCCTGCCAGGTATGACCCATCCCAGTGACCAGCCCTCAACTGTGAGTCATGCTTACCTAGACTGCAGGTTGGGGCAGGAGGAGCCCAGGTGCCATCGTCCTGGCACTGGATCTCATAGCTGCCCTTCAGGACATAGTCATCGTTGCATTCAAACCTCACTTTATCGCCACGGTCACACACAGAGCCACGCCCCTCGAGTTTCCTTCCATTCCGGATCTCTGGGTTCGGGCAGCGGGTCACTAAAAATGAAATCGTGGTTGACAAAGAGCGTTTCTCCAGCAAAATGTAGACCCTGATACCTGCCCTGCTTACTTGCCAGCATCCAGGTAGAGCATGTGGTATGGAGTTCAACCTATCTCCTACAGGCAACAATTTCCATTCAACCCAAGATACCATCCTTTCTGCTGCTGCACTGCTGCTCTTAGGACCCCTGCTAGTGCTCCAGCTTCATCCCTTTCAGAGCGCCAGAGAACACAACTGGCAGTGCAGCACCCTGCAAGGGGAGGCCTCCGCTTCATAACCCATCCCATGCACTTAGTCTGAAACTGCATAAGCTTACAGAGTTTCATCGCATTTTTTATTCTACATGACTCTTCACGATTGCACGTGGCTTTTAATTAAACGGAGATGGATCCCTCTGTCAAAGACATGCCATTAGGGAGTTTCTCCCTTAGGGTCAAGGCTGCATGGGTCAAGTCTTCCTGTTGGCATGAGGGAAGAGCACCAAACGCACCTTCACAACGAGGACGGTAGATGCTCCACTGTCCAGATGCCATGCAATAAATCAACGCCGATCCGATTAGGGTGTAGCCAGGATGACATTCATAAGTGACAGACATTCCTGTGGTGAACACCTGCAGATTGTGGTGGCTGCGGTCTGCATGGGCGATCCTGGGGGGTGCTGGACACTGTAGCACTAAAGGCAGGGAAGTGAGCAAGGAGTGAAGAAGGGCTTGCCCGCCTGCAACCAGGTGGTTGCCGCAGTCCGGTAGAGTGCAGTGAATTGAGTGACTCTTGCCTTACATAAGCTTCCCCACTAGGCTCAGACAATACTCCTGTCACCCATCACCCTCTCCATTGGTCTCAGACACCAAGAATATCTCATAAAACTGGAGCCATCTCATGCCTTGCCTCTCCCAAAGTCCTTGCTCTTAAGGGGTGAAGTTAAGCAAGGCTGGCCTCATGGCCTCAGGGGCTTTTTTGAAAGGTGAAAACCCCAATGATGCACAGAAGAGAAGGAGAGAAATCAGCTGAGCAACAAGAAGAGGAGCATTTCCCTCCTCACAACTGGAAACGGGGCCCAGAAAGCTGTTTTCCCCCCTTGGCGCACACCCAGCAGGATGCTGCTTATCACAATGGCCATCAAAACTTCAGGTAGACTTACCCCTTTCACAGGCTGGCACTGGAGGGTCCCACGTACCCCCAACTTGGCACTGTGCTTTGCGCGGGCTACTCAGGGTATAGCCAGGATCACATTTCACTGTCACATAGTCTCTGGGGCTGTAGGCAGGTTTTATTTCAGTTAGCCACCCGTTCTGGACTGCTGGGGTTGTGCAGCCAATGGCTAAAAGTGCAAGCATAAAGAAGCTGTCAGTCTCCCAAAATGCATGCAGGACAGAGCTGGGGAGATGTGCACAAGAGCTTTGCAGAGCCTTTGTTTGCGTTCCCATGTGCATTTCTACGTGGATTGCCCTCAGACAAATCCCTGCAGCACTGGCACTCAGGGACCCACTCACTCCCAGGAGAAAGGGATACAATTTCATGAAAGCAAGCAGAGCTCCTACAGCTGGCAGGCGCATCAGGGTCCCCATCTCACTGGAGGATATGACTCCAGCTAGGAAAAGTATTTACTCTATGGCCTATCTCCAGGTTCTTTTTTTGTCCTCTCCTACTGTGGCATGCACCCAGGGACTCAAACAGCTAGCAAAGATAACCCAAATGCACCTGTGCATCGAGGCAGGGGTCGACTCCAGGTACCAAACTTTGTGCACTGAGCATAAGCAGTTCCAATAAGGGAGTAGCCAGGTTTACAGCTGTAGAGAACAGCTATTCCAATGGCAAAATTGCCTGAGGCCTGGGCATTGTGCCTCCCGTTGGCAATGTCAGGAGGTGGGGAACACTTGATCACTGGAAACGGGGAGGGGAAGAGAAGCGGGAAGTATTGAGGTATGAATCCTGACTGAGGGGGAAAAATATATAATAGCTACAAGAGGATGAGACGGAAAATTCCAGTATGTCTGTTTATAGCTGTAGTCTGGAGTTTTTGGACTGACTAGCGAATTTGGGAGCCTGGGCTCAGGTAGCTAACAAGGCTTTGGCTTTTCAGAAGTTACAAGCACGGTCCTCAGCTCTTTAGCCTAGGCAACCAGAAAACGAGCTAGTCACTGTACAAGGGAGGAAGCCACATTAGGTGCATCGCGCCAATTGTCCAATGTATCCGCATTCACTGCCGGAATTATTTGCCTTTTTCTACCATGCTCACTGCCATCCCCATTAATGCTCATGAGCAGACTGCAGGAGTAGTGGGTATTGCTAGAAAAATAAATGAGTTCCACAATTACTTCACATGCAACAGCTAAAGGGAAACTTGTCTAGCTCCTGGAAGACTTGCACATAACTGACTGCCCTTCCAAACTAACAAGAAATGTAGCTAATGAGGCAGAAGCACCAGCGGAAGCAGAGGAGGAACAGAGACGTTTGTGACCATTTCTGACATGGGAACTGGAAGTTCTTTTGCAGAATACAGTGCCACGGGCATCTGAGCAGAAGAAGGTGAAAGCCCCCAGCTCCCAGCTGTACAGCCAGCAGGGCAGTCCCACCACTCCTGCCAGACAAGGCCACTTCTCTGCAGATGGCACAGCAATTGTGTGCATGTGGGAAAGGAGGATCTCACACTGCACTGCAGGAAAGCACCAGGAGCAGAGCAAAGCAGAGCACAGGTCCCCACTCCTTTCGGAGCCTGAAACAATGTTTTCACAACCTGGGGCCATTTTACCGAGAAATATTTTCATTCCCTTTGCAGCTATTGTTGCCTTCCCCTTAAGACTCCTATTCGAAGGGAGGAGGAAGCAGGACGGACACAGCCCCATTCAGGTTTGGTTTGGATGGGAAAGGACAGGAAGGAGCAGCTCCTTTGCAGAACGCCAAGTCAGTTGTGATACTTGCCCTGTTCACAAACCAGCACAGGTGGATCCCACGAGTTGTCAGCATTGCAATGAATCGAGCTCTGGCCACGCATGATGTAGCCGGGATTGCACTCAAAGAGCACGATATCACCATAAGCGTAGGAGGACTTGTAGTCAGATATTCTTTTCCCATTCTGGACGGTGGGGAAGGGACACCTGCCCGCTGGAAAGAAAGGACTGGCTTAGACAGAGCACGGTGGGAGAGGAAAGAGCTTTGCAGATCAATGGTGACACAGTCCTCAAGCCCTTCACCCCTAACCCATGCTCCTTGCTGCACTGGTCTCTAGTTGGATGCCTTCAAGATGCAGCTAATTCTAGGACCTGGGGAGTGACCACCCTGATGGAGATGACAGGAGCACAAGATGCAGCACTAGTACAGTGGGTCCCCGTAACAGTAAGGGTGCAGTGATGCTCTCTTCAGTAAGGATGCAGTGAAGCTCTCTTCAGGGAAGCCCCACACTAGCCTCCAGGTCCTGGATGTTTCACCAGGTAAAGGACATGGAGACCAACACTGCAAGATCTGACTGCCCTCTACACTCACCAAGGAAGCCAGGCAACCTGCAAGACCAGGTCCAAGCTGCCTCAGTGATTCAGTTCATCCAAGCCATGTTGCTGCAGATTTTAGCACTCTCAAAATACTCTAGCCATCCCAGACTAGGTCAGTTGTCTTTAATTACAGGCAGGGAATCCAACCTGCCCAGATGGCAGAGTTCCTTGCTGAGTGCTCACATGGCACCAGTCCCCAAAACAAAATTTTTATACGCTGCTTCAGCACCAGTCAGACCCTTAGTGATCTGAACTGTGGGGACCTTGCCAATGGCAAGCTCGCCGAGGGCAAAACTTGGTGAGAATTCACATCCCAGAGGGTTGCTCTGAAACCAGCGCTGCTGTGCATGAAACGGCAGAGCAAGGAAGGCTGTGCACATGAGAGCATGGGCACAGGCCCAGACACACACAGATCCCCACCTCCACACCGAGGGCCAGGCCCACTCCACTCTCCAGTTTTCCCATCCTTGGTTGTGCAGTAAATTGAGCTGTCTCCAGTGAGCGGGTATCCTGTCTCACATGTATAAATCACAGCTGACCCATAAGAGAAGTCATCCCTGTACATGGCGTTGTGGCTGCCGTGCTTTACATCTGGAGGTCGAGGACATGGAATACCTGGGGAGACGTGGAAGAGTACATTGAAGTGAACGCTTGCAGAGAAGCAGCTTCAGATGCATGGTCTGAAAACCTGCAAAGTTTGCCATCGCTATGAAGAAGAGGGAACGGTCCTGCCCACCAGGAGATTCCCCCTAGATAACTGGCCTCAGTGCTCTTGGTCACCAAAGCATGACACCAAACTGGCTTACTGAAGCCAGGTCCTTCTAAGGATGAGACTGCAAGCTCTCTCTTCCATATTCCTTTAAGCTCAGGCTGTTCCTTCCCTTGATGCACTGAACGCATGCACAATTTCCCTGTTGTACCATAAGCTGGAACATACACTGCAAGGGGACATGTCAATAATGACCGTCACATGACGATACATGCCATCCACTAGGATATTGCCCAAAACGTGGGCAGCGCTGGCACCTTCACTTTTCTTTCAGCAAGCTCACTGCTCTCTATAGCTGTTCGGGGTGCCTGACACATCAGGCCCATCCAAGGACTTTGGTGGAGTTCAAACACCCCGCTCCTTATTTTGGACTGCACCGAGCTACTCAGACTGGATTGCTTCCAAGGCACCGAGGGAAGCCTTCCAGTTAAACATGGAAGCCTCAAATACACTTGGGTACCACGCTTGTGGCCACAAAACAGGGTTAATTCTGGATCGGTCTCGGCACAGACACCCAGGTGGACAGCAATGTACTTACGTTCACAAATGGGAGGCTCATGGCTCCATGCAACCCTTTTGCCTGAAATGTCACAGCGCCGTTGAGACTTCCCAATCAACCTGTACCTGAAGATAAACAGAAGGGTTCAATGAGTTCATCTGGTGAGACCCGGCTTTAAAGATTGCAGATATTTGGGATGTACTTCCCACTTGCAAGACACACCCTGTGCCTCCTTACTACATCACCTGGTCACTACTTCAACAGGCCCCCAGCAAACTGATCCAAACCCTTTCCCTGTGGACTTTTGTGCAGGCAAGTGGCAGCTTTGTGGCCACAACTAGACTTTACCCACTGCCAAAACTGGTTTCAAACCCAAGGGAAGCCTAGGTTAGCCCCAGACACTTGGAGCCCCTCCTCGGTTGTCTCAGCACCAGCAGACTGAACACTCAGCTGATGAAACTGGAAACTTGTGTTTGCCAAGCAACACACAGCGAGCAACATGACAAAGGAGCGGAAAAAAGTGAGACCTATCCCAAAGCTCCTTCTCCTGCTGTAGCAGCAACATCCCTGGAGCCAAGAAGCATCAGTCATTGCTTCCTGTGGAAGAAGCAAACTGCACATAGGAGCAGAAGGAAAGATGGGGAGGTTGTTTCAGGCTGCCTGGCTCCCTAGGGCACGTATTTCAATCAGTCAGTCTGAAACTCACCCGTGGTCACATGTATAGTTCACTGTTGCCCCCAACTTCACATCTGTTATGGCAATTCTGCCATTGTGTAGCTCTCCTGGGTTGCCACAGCTTTTCTCTGAAAAAGAGCAAGGCAAGTCTGGAGACTTCTCCCATGCCATAGTTTAAGGACATCAGTTAGCTCAAGGATCTGTCCGTATTTCAAACACCCACAAAAGAAGAGAGTCAGAAAGGCAAGAAATGCATAAATTTACCCAGCACGCTACTCACACATTATCCACCTACCCAATGAACCTAATATTTTTGCAGGGTGCACAAAAATACAGTGCCAGCAAGTCTTTTCCATAACAACTGAAATCAAATAAACGGAGGCACTCACGTGCACAGAACTCAAGTACTTCTGGCCACTGTCCATGTGCAAGACATTTCATAAAATGTGATCTGCCTGGGAACCTCCCGTATCCAGGTCGGCAAGTGTATGCGACAACCGTCCCGATGGGGAAATCAGTCATATTTTTAAACTTAGGCATCAGCTCAGCAAAGGTCAACCTTGGTGGACTGTCACAGCCACCTAGCAAGAAGAAAACACCCAGAGGAGAATATAATCGTTATTCAGAAAACCTGTTACATGTTGATTTCTTCCTTCAAAATTATGGTCATCAGAATTCGCAGGTATTTCCTGACAGGGGTTGTGACACAAATGCTTCTGCTATGACACCATTGTGAAACAAGAGGCTGAAGAAAATACCTGACAGCGAAAAAGTGGACATTCCAGGGCTCGAGTCCTTGCCACCATGGACTGACGAACCACGGCAAAGGTGGCGATGTCTCAAATGCCTACGTAACGGAGTTGGACACTCCAAGGAACTACGCAAGAAGTGGGGCTATGCCATTGATTTAACCATCTGCAACTGTGACAGAGCCTCAGACTACGCAACGCCTGCTGCAATGCCCGGATGTACAATGAAAGAGTTCATAAAATACAATAAACGGACACAAGCAACTGTAACACAATGGTCAAATGTGGCACAGAGACACGAGGAGAGAATTTCTTCCTTTCAAGCCCTCTAGTATTCTGCACTTGTCTCCCTTCAGATGTATTTCAGCATCCGTCGTCCATCCCCCCCCCGCTACATGAGCGCTTCCCAAAGCAGAAAGAGGAGCAGAGTGGACAGCCGGGAATCTTTTACGCTGCTCCCTTATTCTTGTTGGAATCATTCGGTTACAAGAAGCCGCCTCACACTTGTCTCCTTGCTTCAGTAAAGATCCTTCTGGTGATGATGGACTTTCCAAAAGCAGAAACTGCCTTCAAGCAGTCGAACGAACCCTATCAATGGCTGCTGTGAACAGTGATGCGAGCCGAAGCTTCCTGCCCACAGTGCAAAGGAAGCTTAGAGGTGACTGGGGTACATTTGGGTGATATTTTAATCGACACGTTTCAGTTTTCACTTCTCTTTCACTTCTGCCACTGGTTTGACACTGACTATTTATTACTTATGGACCCAGTCATGTATTCAGTGCTTTACAGGTGTGTACAGAAATCCATACAAAAGACCCGCAGCGTCAGAAAGCCACTGAAAACCTGACTTGGGTGCTAGGCACTGAGTCTCACCAGCATGGCATCCCATCCACGCAGACTAAACGATAAAGGGGGAGCTGGGCTCAGGACTGGTTCCCTGGAGCGGATAAAGCCCCCCCCCCCTTCTCCTATGAGGCTTCCCGAGCCCCCCTGGCAGGACACAGCTCTCGGCAGAGGGGCCAAATGCAGCCAGCCCTGCCCAGGGGGGCAGCGGGCAGCTCCAGGGGGCCCTTCCCTTGCAGGGGAACAGCCTGGGTCGGGGCAGAGCCGTCCTCACCTGGGGTTTGCGCGGTAGCGGCAGCGGCGGCGGCCAGGAGCAGCGCGGTGGCGGGCAGCATCCTGCAGCCCCGCGCAGTGCAGCGCCGAGCACCGCGCCCGGGATACAGCCCACGCCGACCCCGCCTGATGCGCTCCACGCGCTGCCGCCGGAGCAGGACGGGCCCCGCGCCCCTTGCAGCCGCCCGTGCCCGTGCCCGTGCCCCAGCGCTTCCTTCTGCATTCAGGCACCTCCACTCATGAATGAGAGGCAAAACTCTAGGCTCAGAGAGGACACCTGGTTTGTGTGATTTCTTCATTGGTTCAGAAACCAACTTTTGCATTTATTTTAGTCTCAGAGCTACCAAATGCATCCGTTCCCTAACTCCGTGTCAGGTATGCAGGCTGTAGCCCTACCGGTCTAGAGGCAAAACGAATCAAAACTCGTGGTGGAGGTGATATCTTCTATTAGAGCAACTCCATTTTTGCAAACATAGTTAATCTAATAAAAGATATCACCTCCACCACGAGTTTTGATTCCATGTATTAACTGCACTGGAAGAGAAGGGGTGTGCAGGGCCAAGGCCAGGTCACATATGCTCAACAGCTGAACAGCAGCAGGCTTCAAGCAAACCAGCGTCACACACCCAAAGCAACCAACCCCGTGGTGGCTGCAGCTTTCCTCAGGGCTGCAAGTCCTCGGTTGCTTTCTATTCCCCGGGCTTGTTTCCGTTTTCTCCATCACCCCGAGGCCTCAGTCCCTAGATTTGGCTTTCTTTTTCAAAGGCCTCCCACTGAAAGGCATAAACCCCAGGAGTTCCCTTTGTCTGTCGTGTTTCACCTGCGGGAAAGACGAAAATGCCACGGAGTGACCCAGCGATCTACACCCTGGAGATACCCGCAGCTAGAAAACAATGAGGTTGAAGTTTGTTCCTTATTCCCAGTTTTACTGGGTAAAGATGAGACCAAAGTATGGTTCTATTGGGGATAGATTAGCTTTGAAAAAGGAACCAGGAATAAGGAATGGGGAATAAGGAACCAACTTCAGCTTCCTTAGAAAATGGCCCCTGAAACCACCTTGGATTAAACAAAGGATCAACTGTACATTGCACAAAGCCAAGCAATGTGTCAACATAGCTTTACTTGCCCCTCGGTGCTACCCTGCTTCGTGTCAGAGAAACGCTTCTCCACTTGCTCAATGGAAAACATCAGTCAAATGATCAGGGAAGCAAAAGTTCTGTTCTACGGCTAAAGCTGAGTCAAAGCAAGGTACTTTTCTTTGAGAAAGTCCTAAATAAAGCCCAGCATGCCTCTTGCTTTTATGAACATGCATTGGGATCAGGTAGTTTAAGCTGCAATTGTTAACAATCATTTAAGACCTTTAAAAAAAAAAAAAGTTTGTAAATCTGGGGCTGTATTTCTGACTACAGTAAAGTACAACTATGCTAAAGGACGGGAGAGCCCAGGTGCCCTGGGGATAGATGGGGCTAGGGGCCACCTTCCTGCAGGGTAATGGGGCAGCTGCCAGGAGCCCTGGAGGATTGATGCAAG